TTTTTTTTTTTTTTTTGGTTTTTCGAGACAGGGTTTCTCTGTACAGCTTTGGAGCCTGTCCTGAAACTAGCTGGTCTTGAACTCACAGAGATCCGCCTGCCTCTGCCTCCAGAGTGCTGGGATTAAAGGCGTGTGCCACCACTTATCTTTGGGATATTTGGGAGGCAGTAATCCCTTAGATAAATTCTATTTCAGGTGACTTAATGGCTCTCTCTCTTTCTCTTTGATTTTGTGAGAAAGGGTTTCCCTGTAGTTTTGGAGCCTGTCCTGAAACTAGCACTTGTAGATTAGGCTGGCCTCAAATGCACAGAGATCTGCCTGCCTCTGCCTCCCCAGTGCTAAGATTAAAGGTGTTCTACACCAAAGCTCACCTACTGTATTTCATTTTTTTTGTGGGTTTCAACACAGGGTTTCTTTGTAGCATTGGAGCCTGTCTTGGATCTAGCTCTTGTAAACCAGGCTGGCCTTGAACTCACAAAAATCCCCTTGCCTCTGCCTCCAGAGTGCTGGGATTAAAGACGTGCCCCAACACCACCTGGTGACTTAGTGTCTCTAAGATTTGGTAGATCCTTATACATGATCAATTCTATTACCAACAATTCTAATCTTCTCTCTTGGTTGAGCAGTGCAAAACTACTCTTCACAGGAGATAACATTTACAAGCCCCACACAATCAAATCCCGATGCATCATGAACTTAAATGTTCAATTTTACAAGTGAAGAAATTCTGGAAGAGACTAGAGAGACCTGGCTTCTCTTACTTTGGCAAATCTTCGTTCCATAGTACAATACAAGCACTACAGGCACCAGCATTGCACAGTAAACTCAACAAGAAGGGCTTTTCTAAACACGATCCCACTCCCAGTGCTCTCCGTGGATGCAGATCACAGAGTTAAATTATTCAGAGACTGCTGTTTTAGCGCAGGGAATTACAAGGATCACATAGATACCATGGAGAACCAAGCAGAGACACGCTGAACTCAGCAATTGCCCACTAGCTCCGACCCAAACAAGGGAGGACCCAGCAGATGGGTTCCCGTATTTCAGCCAGCTGCTCCACCCTGTCTGCGGACATTGTCACGTCATTCACCACGGCCTGCCACTTTTCCTTCTCCTAGGTCAGTTGCCCATATCTCACCATGACCTGGCTGCAGAGCTCAGCCATGCTCTCTCCACACGGAGCCCACGGTGCAGCAAAACATGGACCAACGTCTGATTTCCACAGGAGAGCACGCTAGCCTGGAAACCGGAAAAACCCACCCATATGAGGGGCAGGTCTGTACAAGGTTCCGATTGGCTATTGTTGCATGAGTGACAAACATATTGAGCAAAGGAGCACAATGTTTCTCAGGCGGAGCTTCCTTTCTAAGCACAACCCCTCCCAGTGTTCCTAGAGATTTGTGGCAAATTCCACAAGTCTCCTGTTAATGTAAACCAGTGGTTTCCGTTGTAACAGGAAGTATAGAAATTCGTAAGGAGGCTAATCAAGCAATGCTGCACAAAACAAACACATGGTAATTCGAGATTGTAAAAAAAAAAAAAAAAAAAAGGCAGTGGTGCATGCCTTTAATGCCAGCACTTGGGAGGCTGAGGCAGTTGCAACTCTGGAGTTCGAGGCCATCCTGGTCTACAAGAGCTAGATCCAGGACAGGCTCCAAAGCTAGTTACAGAGAAACTCTGTCTCGAAAAAAAAACCGAAATAACAAAACAAAACAAAACAAAACAAACAACAAAACCAAGTCTACAGCGGCATGTTCTAAAAAGAGTTGGGTTTTCAGAACCTGAAGCAAACACATCACAAAGGCAAGACATTACTAGCTGTTCCAAGCTTATTCCTGGTTTCTAAGGAGATCTATTTTTTTCTCTATACAGCAGGGCCTCAGAGAAACACCAAGAGGCCCTGGCAGGTTGCTGTATTTGGAGAGGCCTAGGTGCTCAATTATCATCTAGAAATAACTCAATTTTAATTGGACATTTGGAGATATTTGTGAGGGCTGGATGTGGCATCTCTCAAGCTGGATAGAACTCCCATGCTGATCTGTACTGTATAAGAGCAGAACTGCTGATATAAAGGAGTTACTAACCCTTAGAAGATATTAAACAAATCAACATAGGAATTACCTGAGGAAAGGCTGCCTCTAAACGTCTCAAAGGCTAGTAGTATGACAAGCAGGGCTGAATAAGGTTAGAATGCTTGGGTGTAAATGTTTATTCACATTTTGTGGATAGTGCTAATGGTCACTTTTCTGCCATAAAAACAGCAAATAGAATGCATATTGATGTGGAGGAGAGAGAGACCCTCTGTGTAAAGTTGTTTCTATAGTAACCTGATGCATCAAAGTTTCAAAATGGATTTCTTAGATGTGTTATACTGGATGCTGTACACATCAATTTAATGATGTTTTATTAAAGATTTGCTGGGGCGTAGTATGCCTACATATTCCCATAGAAATCGAAAAGGATAGTTAGAGCAGAAATGCTGTGTATTATATGCATTTACTCTAAGGTTTAGTTGATCAAATTGCACCTAGGAAATATTAATTTATTGCATTATGTCATTCACAGTTTCTATTTGGCTTTCTTATACTTAACTGTTGCTCAGCACTAACTTAAGACCAATAAGTGGTACATTCCTATGACTGGACAGTTATGAGAGTGTAAGTAAGTGGTTTCAGGTGCATAAAGGATAATATTTAGAGAAAATATATTCTAGCCGGGCGGTGGTGGCGCACGCCTTTAATCCTAGCACTTGGGAGGCAGAGGCAGGCGGATCTCTATGAGTTCGAGACCAGCCTGGTCTACAAGAGCTAGTTCCAGGACAGGCTACAAAACCACAGAGAAACCCTGTCTCAAAAAAACCAAAAAAAAAAAGAAAATATATTCTATTAAGATTCATAAATTCATATATCATGTATTTCAAGGACAGACTCTATTGCATGCCAAATGAAAATTTATGGAGTTACATCTGGCTTTTGAAATACTAAACAGTAGTTACTGGTACCAAGATGGTGTAAAACTGATATTTTGGATATTTCATAATCATTCTTGGAGGGTATTCTATTATGCTTAGAGCGACTAACACAGAAAATATTTATCTCTTTTTCCTTGAAGTACAATGAGCTTCTAGTGGCTGGGGATGAAGGCCATTAGTCACCTGTCTTATTCAAGAAGGTTATACAGTCCCCACTCAATGAATTTTAAATATTTTCCATTCTACAGTAAGGAGGGTCAATGTGGAAACGATTTTCTGAAGGCGTCAAAAGAACACACAGTACATAAGGCAGCGTCTTTGACTCATCCTAACATTGATGGACAATTACTGAAAGAGGGGCTAGAAGAGTCTGAGTTTCTCCTCTAAACCAAGTGGCCCCTGTGGACTAGCTGCTCAATTTTTCTGGAGAGCACAGAAAGAACAATTAATTTTGGCCATCTGCATGATCTTCAGCACTCAGGAGGAATGCTGAAATAAAGACTGAACAAGTGAACTGGTCACGACTCAAGGGATTGCACTCCACAAATATTTAACGTGAATCTACGTGATATATTACTTAGGCAACCAACCACAGTAGTATTTTCCTTTCCACACAAAAACCTTACCCAGATGTGAGACTTCACACTTTGCCTCAATAAGCATTAACTCACAGTAAAGGTAAACAGGCCGGCGATTATTTCAACCTCCAGAATGAAATAATGGCTAAAGACCCATCTCTCCCTACCCGAGCCTCATGGCAAGATTAAGCTGCTGACTTTTCACTGATTAAAGTGCTATGAAAGAGTATGGAAGCTGATTCTGGGTTCCTCACTCTGGATTTCAAGCATAGATGTTGACGGAAAACATGTAATAGATCGGGGCTAGTGTGAGCCCATCTAGAATATCTTATGAATTTTGGACAATGTAGTCCTTTGAGATGCCAGCAAAGCTATTCCTTTTTGTACTTCTCTGAGATTTCAGAGTTTACAAGAGGCCATCAGGGATGGTATGCCAATACTACAAGCAGATTCTCCAAATTCTGCTGGAAGAAGCCGTACATATATATATCAACCAAATCCCACAACAGCAGTTAGGGCTAACATCTTCAGAGGCAGATGGGGTAGGAACTGGAGGTAGAAATTTACCAGGCAGTTTAGGGTAAAAAGACAGCAACAAAAGAAATTGATATTTTCTTTCTTTTTCTTTTATTTTCCGTTCAAAAATTTACACTTACTTCGCTCCTCCCATTCCTCTCCTGCTCCTTCACCCACAGTCCTCCCTCCCCTTCCCTCCTGAAGAGAGGCAGAGAACGCTGCCCTGTGGGAAGTCCAAGGTGCTCCTCCCTACATCCAGGTCTAGGATAGAATAGACTAGGGTCCCAAAAAGCCAGTACATGCAGTAGAAACAAGTCCCAGTGCCTTTATCAACGACTTCTCAGTCAGCCCCCATTGTCAGCCCCGTTTAGAGAGTCCGGTTTGATCTCATGCTCATTCAGTCCCGGTCCAGCTGGATTTGGTGAGCTCCCATTAGAACAGGCACACAGTCTCAGTGGGTGGACCAACCCCTCATGGTCCTGACTTCAATGATCATCTTTTACCTCCTTCTGCTCTTCATCTGGACCTTGGGAGCTCAGTCTGTCGCTCAGCTGTGGGTCTCTGTCTCTATCTTTATCTGTCACTGGACAAAGATTCAATGGTGATATTTGAGATAATTGTCACTGTGAAAGTGGGGCAAGGACAGTTCAGGCACCCTCTCCTCTGCTGCCCAAGGACCTAGGTGGGGACATCCCGTGGACACCTGGGATCCCCTCTAAAGCCAAGCCTCTAGCCAACCCCAAATTGGCTCTCTTAGTTAAGATATCTTCTTCCCTGCTCCCATATCCGTCCTTCCTCCATCTCAACCATCCCACTCCCCAAGCTCTCCCCATACCCTCCCTTCTCCCTACTCTCTCTCCCTCTCCTCTTCCCCTACAACATCCCCATGCCCATGCTCCCAACTTTTGCTTGGCAATCTTGTCTGCTTCCAATTTCCAGGAGGATCTCTATATGTTTTCGCTTGGTTTCACATTATTATTTAATGGGAAGAGTGAAGAATGGCTGAGGCAGGAAATGAGAAGAAAGTTAGAACAGGGATAGCTATGCAAAATGAAAAAGATCGTATTATAAAAATCATTTAAAATGAAAAAAGAAAGTATGTTTCCAGCAATGAGCTGAAAAAGTTGTATATCTGAAAAGCATTTTGAATCAGACTTAAAGATGCAGAGTTTGGAGTGAGCACTCATGTTTTTAATCTAGCTTTCCTTTGGTCTAGTTTCTCCTCACTNGGGGGACGGAAATGGGAGGCTGGGAGGAGGCGGAAACTTTTTTTTTTCCTTTTCTCAATAAAAAAAATATATATTTTTTTAAAAACGATATCTTCCTCCCTGCTCCCATATCGGTCCTTCCTCCACGTCAACCATCCCACTCTCCCAAGCTCTCCCCAACCCTCCGTTTCTCCCTTTTCTCTCTCTCTCTCCTCTTTCCCTATACCACACCACGCCCTCATGCTCTCAACTATGTCCTATAAACCTTTCTGCTTCCAATTTCCAGGAGGATCTACATATGATTCTCCTTGTGTTCGCATTATAACTTAGATCGGGAGAGGAATGGAGAATGGGTGGGGCAGGAAATGGGAAGGGAGTGGGAACTGGCAGCTATGTGAAATGAAAGCATATTATAAAAATCATTTGAAATGGAAAAAAGAAAGTATGTTACAGGCAGGGAGCTGAAAGGAGTTGGATATATGATGAGCATTATGGTGTGAGACTTAACAATGCAGAGTTTGGAGTAAACACCGATGTTTTCGGTCAAGTTTGCTTTGGTCTAATATCTCCTCACTATGTTCTCTTCCCTACTTTTTGACGAGAGGTGCATATTGTCTGCCATTAGAAGTTGAAAGTGTTGAAAATGGCTTTTGATTTTTAATTTTATAGCAGAGTATAATTAAGAGATTGTATGAACCGCGTCAGAGGAGACTTTCAACTTTGAGTTCAAAATATTATTGAGACTGTTTTATACTTATGGGGGAATTTGAAGCTGCATAAAATGAAATTTACATTATGATATTGCTACAAGTGTATAGAGTGCAGGAATGAAAGTTGGTAGCTTGAATGTAACCAGCCTCCATAGAATCCCAGTGTGTGGCGTTACTAGCAAGTGTGCCTTTGTTGGAGAATTGTGCTTTTGTTTTTGGATGTATGTCACTATAGACGTGAGCCTTGAGGTGTCATATGGACTCAAG